GCCGAAAGGCTGTGGGTTCGATTCCCGGTTGGGGCGAGTATGGGATGGGAGGCACCGATGGATGTTTCTCTCTCACACTGATGTTTCCCTCTTTCTCTCCCCCTTCCCTTCCCTGGAAGCAATGAAACAACAACAATAATAATAATAATTTGAGAATAAGAGGATGAGGCATGAGTGAGTAGGCCTCCTGTGCACGGTTTAGCTAGATAAGAATCTTGCCCTCCGGGGGCGAACACTAAGCTTGGCACTACTTAACAAGACAAATACAAAAGGGGCAAGCAGGTAACTGAAAAATAAACATGGAAAACAGGCAAACAGAAAGATTAAATATCGATATCCATTGTGCCCATGACCATAACTTTAAAAGACATGAAGCTGGGGGGGTTCGGGGGAAGGGCAGGGGTGGGACAAGTTGGCAGACAGTCTCTAGTCCCAAGAGGGTGGCCTAGAAAACATCCTGCCAGCAAGTACCATAAACTCCTAGAAATGGGCTCCTTCTCTCTCCCTCCCTCTCTCTCTCTCCCCCTCTCCCTCTCTCTCTCTCCTCCTCTCCCTCTCTCTCTCCCCTCTTTCTCTCTCCCTCTCTCTCTTTCTCCCTCTCCCTCTTCCCCTCTCCCTCTCTCCCTCTCTCTCTTTCCCCCTTTCTCCCTCTCTCTCTCTCCCTCTCTCTCCTTCTCCCTCTCTCTCTCTCACACACACATACACACACACACACTTTCTTAGGCTCCTCTCCTTTATTGATACACAAGACTACCGGACAGATTCCCAGGGCTGCCGCACCAAACGACCACAAACTGGGCGGCTGTAAACAACAGAAGTTTGTTCTTTCCCAGTTCTGGTGGCCAAAAGTCCAAAATCCGGGTGTGGCCCGGCCAGCTGCCCCGGAGGCTCTGGGGAAAACCTGTTCCACGCCTCTCCCCTGGCTTCCGGCGGCTGCCCGCAGGCTCGGCGCTCTTGGCCCGCAGGTGCATCACCCCAATCTCTGCCTCCGTGGCCACGTGGCCGCCATGTGTGTGCGTCTGTGTCCTCACATGGCGCTCTCTGTGTGTCCTCTGTCTTGTAAGGATGACGGTCATGTTGGATTCGGGTCCACCCTGCTCCAGTATAACCTAGTCTTAATTAATTATACCTGCAACAATCCTGTTTATAAATGAGGTCACATTCTCAGGTCCCAGGAAGGACAGAACCACCAAACGGCCTACATGGATACCTACCCATTTTAGCAAATTGCTAACAGTGTATACTGCTAGGAATTTAAAAAATATATATCGTTACTGATTTCAGAGAGAGGAAGGGAGAGGGAGGGAGAAACATCAATGATGAGAGTCATTGATCGGCTGCCTCCCGCACGCCCCCACTGGGGATGGAGCCCGCAGCCCGGGCCTGTGCCCTGACCGGGAATCGAACCGTGACCTCCTGGATCCTAGGTCGGTGCTGACCCGGCAAAATTTTTTTTTTTAATCCTCACCTGAGGATGTTGTTTCCTGTTGCTTTTCAGAGTGTGGAAGGGAGAGAGAGACAGAGAAACATCACCTGGTTGCTTCCCACACAAGCCCCGACCGGGGCTGGGGATGGAGCCTGCAGCCCAGGTACATGCCCTTGGCTGGGATCAAACCCGGAGCCCTCTGGTCTGTGGGCCGAAGCTCTAACCGCTGAGCCAAACCAGCTAAGGCCTGTTAGAGGGGTTTACAGGATGCATTAACTGCATGCAAACTCTTCTTGGCACAACAAAAATTGTATTTACATTTCTTTTACATCTAATCGATCAATATGCAGGAAAAATAAAACCAAAGTGAGTTTAACAATGACCGTGTCCACACAGTAAAAAGTAAAATCAGGATTTAGTGGTTCCTTGGCTAGTTTGATCTGTGTAAAGATAGGTCCCCCAAAAAATCGGTCCAGAATGTAGTTTGGGGCCTGTTTTATGACACTGACTGTCTTTAAGGGTCAGAGACATTGGTCAGATGGTCACGCTCCCTTGTGTACTCAACCAGGTGAGGATTTCACAACAGACAATGACATACATGTACAATGGAAAGGGAACCCCCAGGCCCCTCAAACACCCTCCGGGTTGAAATCTGCATTCCTTGGCATGGCTCTCGGGAGCCCCTGCCACCGTCCAGTCACCTTCCAGCCTCTTCCCTTCCTCCTCGCCACGAGCTCCAGCCTTCAGGACTACTTTTGGTGGACAACATACTTGACCAGCTTGTCCCAATCCCTTCTTTATTTTTTTTTTTCCTTTGGCTCTCACTTCATAGTCTTCACTACAATCCCAGACCACTGCTCTCCCAACGGCGATGGTTATATGTCCCTCCGGTGCTTTACCCCATCCCAGCTCCCCTGGCCTGTAATGAGTTGCGATTAGCTGTCTGTATCCCACCCTAAGAGACAGCCGCAGGCGCCTGCCTGAGTCACCTTTTATACCTGTTATTCAGCAACAGCTCAAAAAATGCTTGTGGAATAAGTGAAATAAATGGAAAAACATGGGTTAAGAAAAAGAGCCAAGACAAGCCTTTATAGGAGTGCTTACTTTTTAAAAAGAAACTGTATCTTTATAAACCGCATATACATACCTACTTTGCTACATTTTATGTTGGTTGTTACAATGTATACTTCTATAAAGAAACAGGCAAGTTTTTGCCACCTATAATCAACATTTCTCATGTACACTCTTTCCTTCCCGGGGTTACTGGCTTTCGGAAACCTGGGTGGAGAGGATCGTGCAGTTTCTCACGGAGTCTCCAAAATCAACAGAGGTCAAAAGAGTTGTCCACAATCTTCAGACAACATAACACCCGCGTAGAAACCTTTTTCTCAGCCACAATAAATGCGGAGAGGGAAATGACTCCAGGGCAGCACACAATATGCATCACACAACCCACTTCTGTAAAACTGTCAGCCCACAACTCCCTGTGTGTGTGTACAAAGTCATCATGTTCATCAAAATGGAAACGGATTATCTCTGGGCCGGGATTCCAAATGGCATAAACTTCCTTTTCCTTATTTTTTAAATTATTTTGGTCAACTACACTTGACATTCAATATTATTTTATATTAGTTTCGGGTATACAGCATTGGGATGAGACACACAATTTAGGAAGCGATCCCCTGATAAGTCTGGTACGTACCTGGCACCACCCACTTATCACAGTATGAGGGACTATATTCCCTGGGCTGCACTTTATATCCCCATTTACTTTCTTTGTATTTTTCTTTTTAACTTTTATAACAAATAACTATCATTTTTATAAAAGCAATCAAGTCGTTTTTAAGGAATAAGCGTTTTTTCCTCCAAAATTACCTCCTCTTTAGCCTTAATTAAATTTCACTTTCACTGTTTTTTCTTCCTTTTTCTTTCTCGTTACTATCTCATCTGTGGAAATATTAAAACAGTATCTGCCATGCTATCATGACTCCTGTAACCATCAGGTTTCAGAGTTCTAGTTTCCCTCCTTAGGAACATCTGCCATTAAACAAGTAAAAAGGTTTTTCCAAATGAAAATGAATGGTATTGCTCTGTCTTTCCCCTAATCCTGTTTTGTTGTTGTTGTTAATCCCCACCTGAGGATATTTTTTCCATTGGTTTTTAGAGAGAGTGGGAGGGAGGGGGAGAAAGAGAAACATCGATGTGTCATCAACCGGTTGCCTCAAGAACGTGCCCCCACTGGGACTGGGATTGAACCTGCAACCCAGGTATGTGCCCTTGACCTGGAATGGAACCAGAGACCCTTCAGGGCTCGGCCCCCACTGCTCTAACCACTGAGCAGCACTGGCCAGGGCCGTCTTTCCTCTAATCTTAATAGGTATATTCGGCCCTGGCCAGGTAGCTCAGTTGGTTGGAGAATCATCCCCATACGCCAAGGTTGCAGGTTTGATCCCCGGTCAGGGCACATACAAGGATCAACCAATGAATTTATAAATAAGTGGAACAGCAAACAGATGTTTCTCTAGATAGACAGACAGATAGATAGATAGGTGATAGATAAATAATAAAAATATATTCCTCTCCCCCAGCTGGTGCCAGCTGGTGCCCTGCCTAACACCGGTGGGAAGTTGTGTGTGTTTGGTAGAAATCTCTCTCCCCCGCTAGCCTCTATATCCTTGTCATCTCTGTGTTCCTCATTACAGTGCACTTGTGGGTGCTCAGTAAATATTTTAAAACGAAAAAGAAGCCATCATTACTCCAATGGGCTCTGTGTGAGTGAGGAAAGGAGGGAGCCAGGGAGGGGGAACGAGAGGAAGAAACTTACCTTCTGAGGGTGGAGGGTGCAGGTAGAGGGCCCCACTGCACTCCCTTTGCTTTCTACCTTCCTGACCTCGGGGAGGCTGGTCCCTCTCGCTCCTCTGCGTCCGGATCTATTTGTCCGTAGGCTGCGGGCATCTTCCCCTCCCTGTCCCTCACCTTGACCTGCCTTTGCTGGCTCAGTGCCGTCATTGTCATTGGGAGGAGTTGTCACCTCTGTGTAGCCCCACACACCTGCAACCTGCAAGACAGACCAACAGCACACCTGAAGGACCCAAGCAGCACGGGGGAGGAGGTGGGGAAGGAGCAAAGGCAGGCGGGAATTTGAAGTGGGTGCGTATTGCCATCTGGTTCTTGTCTTATCAGTGAGACTCTGGGGCGCAGTGCTCGGCTGTCCCTCATCTGCTGGACGGCCGGGCCTGACGTCTGCCCTCCTCTCGGGCAGGCCCTCCCAGACTCCAACCATTCCTCTGTGACCTCATTCTCTGCCCGGGGTTCCATGTGCCGCTCTGTGAGGTCATCAACATAAGACCCCTTTCAGCTGCCAAGCCCAGGAGCCCCAAGAGCCAGGTTCCCTGAGAGATCCGCCTGGGGGTGATTTTAGGACACCCCCTCCCCTCAGCGGGTCACCCCTGCACTGAGCCTGGGGGCGGATGTCCTCAAACACGGGGTGATGGGCCCTTTTGTCCACTGACCCCTTGAGTAAATTCAAAGGTCTAGAGCGGCCCTTAATCCCGAGTGGGTCCCCCTCCCCCAGGCATGGATAGCTGCACCCCTTCGGCGCAGGAGCTGCCCCAGAGGCTGTGGCCGGGCCCCAAGGGTGGGGCAGCCAAAGAGCACCTTCTGGGCAGCCTGGCCGCGGCGCACGCCCTCGCCAGGGTCATCCGAACGTGCTATGGCCCCCACGGCCTCCAGAAGTTCCTGGTGACCACCAAAGGCGAGACCGTGGTCACGGGGTACGCCACGGCCATCCTCGGGGTGCTGGAGCTGGAGCACCCGGCCGCCCGGCTCCTGCGGGACATGGCGCTCGGCCAGGGCGAGCACAGCGGCGACGGGGTGGCCTTCGTGGTGCTGCTGGCCGAGGCCCTGCTGGCCCAGGCCGAGCGCCTG